TTATATAGGTGGTTTAATAACTAACTAACTGACCTCCCTTAACCCCTTAACTAATTACTAAATAACCCCCAAACCCCTAACTTAAAAACTGCCTCCACCCACGAAACCCCCACCCACGGACCGTGGGTGGGTCTATGGATCGTGCTGCACTTCGTAGGTGGGGTACTGGAGCTTGAAAGTTGCAGGGTAGGTCAATCCTTGACTCACGACCCCTTCCCACGGGACGTGGTCCATCCACGGCTCGTGGATGCCCTTTGTGGGAGGCTGCTGTTTTGGACAGTTTTTGGGCTGTTTTGGGGTCCTCCTCAAGGACCCCTTGGGTGGTCCTTGTGGGGTCGTACCTTGACGCCCTAACCCTACAATCCTCATTCTAAGTACGGGAATCATTTTTACAATTTTTAACCCTTATCCCAAACTCTAAAACCCTAACACAAGGCTCTAGCACTCTCTGGTTTAGCTCACTAGTTTCCGGGTATTACATCTCTACCCAAGAGAACATCTAAACAATGATGTAAAAAGGTTTGACCAAAACTTAGATGATTCAACTAACTAACTCTAATTAATACGACTCAAACTAAATACTTAGACAAGCAACCGATATACTATCATTTATAACTTAGGAGTAGATTTACAATTTAAGCACATAAGACACAAAGCTCAAAATACAACAAATACTCTTCAGCACTCCATCAGGTTCCTTGTTGATATGAGCAGTGTTCTTCCTTGAAGTTGGCTTCTTCTTTGTAAGCTTATGAATTTTCAGAAATTCAAATTTTTGTTTGCCAAATATTGGTTTGTGGTTTGTGAGAAGAAATTATATTAAATGGACACAAACCTCTTGAGACGACCCCATTGGTTGAGCGTCTGCTTCTCTAAAACGATGTGCACTAACCACATCAAAGGTAGCAGCTTTTCTGACAACTGTCTTGTCGTCCTTTTCACATACGCAGTCTTGTAGGGACCAGGTCCCTTGCAATGTGTTCTTTGTGAGTTCTTGAGAAGACTTGCTAACTCTCTCTCTCTTTTTGAATGAATAATGTTGTTTGTTTATTGTGGTATATATATGAGTCACCAATAAGAGTTTTGACCACTGACACAAACAACCTCGTCCGCCCTTTCTATTGTTGAAGTACACTGCACTTTTCACCAACTATTCTGACAAGGCAGCTTTGCAAATGTACCCCATTTGAATCTGGACGAGAGCACTCTGCCAGGGACCAGATGCCTGCATTTGTGAGGATCATCAAAACACCTAGAATTTAACATTTTCTCCCTTTTTGATGATGACACACAAATATTCCTCACACTGAGTTTATTCATTCTTTTGCCCGATAACAAGGATTTGGTCCCTTGTTAGATCCCTAATTTGTTAAATCATCAAAACTTAGCATCAGCTCCAAAGTAACAATGGCCACCGTGGTGTACAAGATGATCGAGGGAAGTGAGACTGAGATGATTTGGATGTGTGAAGAAGATGCTTAAATGCACTAGTGAAGAAGTGTGAGAGGTTGGTTATACAAGGTATGAGGAGAGCTGACAGAGGTAGCTAAAGAAGTATTATAGGGAGTATTGATAAGACATGATATGACTCACCTTTAAGTTACTGAGGACATGACCCCTATATAAGAGGGTGTGGAGGACATGTATAAGATTAGAAGGTTAGTAGGTAGTGTAGTGTTGTCTTACTTAGGGTGGTTGATATTTTTCATTGTCGTTATACTAGTATTATTATAGTTTCTTGTTTTGATATTTCGATTATCGTACTATTTTTGTTATTACTTGCTATGTTTTCATCATTTTATTTGTCTTTGTACCTGGACTTGTTATACTTGAGTCGAGGGTCTTTTGGAAACAACTTTTATACCTCAACGAGATGATAAAGTCTACGTACATTTTACCTTCTCCAAATCCCTCTTGTAAAATTTCATTAGGTATATATATGTTGTTGTTGTTGTTGTTTACTAAACTATTGTTTTTCTTATTTCCTATTTATTTATTTTTTGCAAAACACATATAATATATTAATAGAACTAATATGCATTATTACAAAGAGTGACATGACAGCTAGTCTGCTAGAGTTATTATTAGGAAATATTTCATCGTTATTACAATTTTCAGAATCTGTTATAGGTCTTTTCAATCTAACAAAAGGAGTTCTTACTCGATCTGCTTTCACCTTACTAAATACAAATAAAGGTAGAACTGTCCATTACACAAAAAGTTTGTTTATTTTATCTTAGATCTATCCTTAGCTAATGCTACTATTTGATTTTCTTTTCGATAGCTATGCTGGATAAAGGGGTTCCCTAGTTGGCGAAACAATACCCTGCAATCAAGTTAATGACTTGTATGAAGTATGAAGTCCATATTGATTTCCAATGGTGTGAACTCATTTGAGAGAGCAATATCAAAGCCTCTTAATAGCGCCATAATTTCAGCTTTGATGATCGTTACGTCATATAAATATTTTCTATTTATGAACACACAATTTGGACTGGATGAACAACTTCAACATGAAATAAGAGGTTTCTCTATGTCTAAATTTTAGATAAAGAATGTTCAAATTTATTCATCAACTTTTAGTTACAATCTTCAATTGAAACTCCGTTAGTTTTCAATGACAAAAACAATTTCTCCAAACAGCACGAAATATTAGACTAAAAGTCAAATGAAGATTATATTTAAATAACTTAATTTCGAATAACACCTCAGCAAATGTTTATCAATTTTCTTGATCTATGATGTGTATATTAAAAGAGACATTAAGAAAGAATTTCAATATTTGGTCCCATAATAATAATAGGAAATCTTGATGTTGTCTTGGATAATTTGATAAGGTCGACATTTATGATTTAACGTTACATTTGAATTAGATTTTGGTACCACGTAAAGATCTCATGAGCCCACTTGTATAACCAAATTTGAACTAGTTTTGACCATCACATTTACTTTTATCACCTAATCTTTTTTGACAAAGTACGAAACTCATCTTCATGGAGTTATGACAGCCTTTGTAATGTATCCCTACACAACCTACAGTGTGGTACCATATGTCAACTTGCTCGTTTAACACATATTGTTTATTCAAAGCACGTTTAGTATTAATGAATCATTAGTTCACTATTTGAAAAGAGTTCTAAAATTAAAAACATATGTTACATCATTGAATCACCTAAAAGATATCTATTATATAATATAAGTTCAACTCACAATGTGCAATTAGTGAACTTTAGCATCCTTAAATGTTATGTATTATTTACTCGCGCATGTTTATATCAAATTAATTAAATTTACCATGATTAAATAATAATTTAATGATACAAAAATATGCAATATTTAGTCATAATTAAGTGATAGAAGTGTGTATGTGATCACATATCATTTATTTTACTACTAGTTTAGGGCAGACACACGATGAGGATTACCAATACTATTGGTCATGACTATATTTATTTAAAAAGTGAATTATACTATATGTTTTACGGTACTTTAAATGAAATATTGAAATATTTATTGGACCAACTTTTTCTTAGTGAAGTTTTAATCCAAACAAACGTTTAAATTCCACAAGGTTTTTAAATTTTAACTTCAACTTAAATCACTCTTTTTTCAACTTCAAACAAAATATTATCAAGTTTTTTTTAATGTTTTGGCATGTGCCATAGTGTGGAAATATGTTTCGTTTCATATTCTGATTTGCAAAGAATTTTGAGGGTTCAAGCCACAATTTAAAAGCAACTAGTGGAGTTAACTTTTTTTTTTTAAAAAAAAAAAAATAGACTCCATATATATACTTATACTTAAGATATATTCGTTATGTTTAGTCTTTCTAATATTTTTTTCGTTTAGACCTTGTAGTAATTAAGAATATAAAATCATATCTTGGCAAATGGTATAGCAAAATTTCATGGAGAATACATGTGAATACAGAGTACACAATCTTCAGATTTCGCAAGAGGATTGTAGTACGTCTCTAGAAATATAAATTTCTTTTCTACAAATCAAGTATTAATAATATTTTTATTCTTAATCTATCACTCAATTTTTGATATGTTGTCATACTAGAAGTGATAAGGTTAGAAATGAGGATATTTGTAAATATAAAGTGGGAATGGCTACCGTGATAGACAAGATGATCGACGAAAGCGAGACTGAAATGATTTGGACATGTGAAGAGGAGATGCTTAGATGCACCAATGAAGAGGTGCGAGATGTTGGTTATACAAGGTATGAGGAGAGCTGACAAAGGTAGCTGAAGAAGTATTATAGGGAGTGCTGATAAGAGATGATCTGACTCACCTTTAGGTTACCGAGGACATGACCCTAAATAGGAGGATGTGGAGGACACATATAAGATTAGAAGGTTAGTAAGTAGCTAGTGTAGTGTTGTCTTACTTAGAGTGGTTGATATTTTTTAATTGTCTAATTTTTTTTGTTTTGTTTAGACCTTGTAGTATGGAGAATACATGTGAATACAGAGTACACAATCTTTAGATTTCGCAAGAGGATTTTAGCACGTCTCTAGAAATATACATTTCTTTTTCTACAAATCAAGTATTAATCATATCTTTATTCTTAATCTATGACTCAATGTTTGATACTCGATATTTGTTGTGGAGTTCCAATAAATTTAATTTACTATGTGTAAGGTCTATTATAGAGAAAACGTTCTTGATCAGAAATTTTTCCATTCTCTTTTTATATACTAGGGGAAAAAATGAAAAAAATGTCCATTTTAATATGACTCTAAATGATATTAACAAATTTAAATTGAAATAAAGATTGAGGATATAATGTGACACTACAATACCATACTTAAATATGACAATCACAATATCATATCTATTTATAGGAAGTTCCTGTAAAATTTACACATTGAATATTTGAAAAAATGGCTTAATTTTTTTTAAAAAAAGAGTTTCTTCTATTATAAAAGATTTTTAAAAAATAGAAATTGGACGTCTCTAACAACCACTAACATACAAAAGGTAACTAGCTAGTAAAAGACAAATATAATCCATCTCTAATCAATCAAACTCAAATATGCTTTTATACAATTAAATACCATTTCTATTCTCCTTAACCCCATTATCCAAAACAGCAATATTACTTGTTGATCCCTTAATTATCCCAAATTTCCTCAACCACCCCAAACTCCAATCCCCTAAATGCAAAACAATATAAGTACCAATTCCACCAATCAAACCATAAGCAATTGAATAAGTTAACGGCGTCAAAATTAACGTCACAAACGCCGGTATTGCTTGCCTCATATCATCCCATTCTACTTCCACCACAGACTTCATCATCATCACTCCCACCAATATTAACGGCGGCCCAACCGCCCACGCCGGTATCGATGCCAGTATCGGCGTGAAGAAAAACGCCAGGAAGAAATATCCAGCCGCCGTTAACGCTGTCATCCCTGTTCTTCCACCTTCTTTTATACCCGTTGACGATTCGACAAACGCTGTTACTGGTGATGTCCCCAACAACGAACCTACAACGATCGCTGATGCGTCTGACATGAAGGCGAAATATTGCCCCTCAAAATTGCCGTTTTCATCGGTGAAACCGGCGAAACGTGCCATTGAGTATAGAGTACCGGTTGTATCTAATATGTCTACGTATAGGAAAGTTATCAAAGCTTCCCAAAAGTAACCTTTACCTATGTTTTTGAAACTCAAAGCTCCGGCTGTGGTCTCGATTGTGTGAACGTCGACTACTTTTTTGAAATAATTGAAAGCCGAATCACCTGCCGGAGTATCCGGAAAAGCGGTGACACTGGTGTTTCTGAACCATGAAATCGCTGTGACGAAGATGATGCCGTAGATCATTGCACCTTTTATGTTTTTAGACAAACAGTAAGCAATTATGACGAATCCAACTATACCGAGCCATAGTGTCGGGCTCTCCATACGATCATGCAAACATAATATGTCACCGGAAACGGTGCCGCCGGGGATCAGAGTCATGGTTCCGTTTACGGCGGCAATTACCGGAGCTACTCCTGCCCGAGATGACCGTGGGCAACCGGCAAGGGTGATTAGTGTTGATGGACTGTATCCAACGAGACCGATTCCCTGATTATTCTGTAGCCCAATGAAGGAGAGGAAAAGTCCGATACCGGCGCCGGAGGAGATTCGGACTGGTTTCGGAATCAATTTAGCTAGCTTGGCCCGCAAGCCAATCGCCGAAATGAGTAAAAACAATAGGCCTTCAATGAAAACTGCAGCTAACGCACTTTCATAAGAAACATTTCCAGAACCATGAAAACCAACAACCGTGTACGCAAAGTAAGCATTGATGCCCATTCCAGGAGCTAATGCCAATGGCAAATTAGCCAAAACACCCATAATTACACATCCGATGAGAGAAGAAGCCACCGTAGCCACGATCAAATCTTTCCGAGTTTTCTCTAAGCAGGCAGCGTAACCCGGATTAACGGGTTCAAATTTACAGGAAACATCAGGATTGATCAGATGGAGATTAGGATTGTTAGTGCAGTTTGTCGTGGAGACAGTCGGGTCGGAGCATAACGGAATACAGTCGGAAACTGAACAAGTACCGCCGGAATCGGAGAGAATAGAAGCGTTAACAGCTAAAATATAGGCCATGGTAAGAAAAGTAGTGGTGCCTGCACGAATCTCAGTGGTGAAGTTGGTGTTACGTTCCTTGAGCTTGAAACGCTTGCCGACTCGGCTTTCTGCCACGTAATCATTGAGACGAGTCACCGGAGATTTTCCGCCGTGTGACGACGGCGGTATCCCAGACTCCACGTCCATGGTGGGTCGTGATAATAACTACTGCTAGTGTGAAAAGAAAGGTAGGAGTATGGGGCTTCAACTTTTTCCTTCTTTTTTTGGATCAAAAAGGCTGGCCACTCCCTTTATATATGCGGGCGACACGTTTTCTAATAATTTAACACTATCACTAATTAATATGAATATTTTTTGCAATTACGTTTAAGTTTGTTTTATGACTCATTTGGTAAAGGTGATAAAAGAATAATATTGATAGATATATTAGTAATATTGTTTGTAATAAATTTTTAAGTGACAGAAAAATAAATTGTATAAATTAGGGGTTTTGAGATTAAATAGCCTTTAAGACTTTTAAATAAAATTGAACATACTTTTAGAATTTTAACTTGAATTGAACACTATAAAATTTCAATGTCTACATGTATATCTAAAAGTAACATGATGGCATAATTTCTAAAAAATAGACAAGGTTTTAAGGGATGATTATGATAATTTTTTATCCATTAATTATATACATCTTAATACTATTTGATAATAATATATTAAAATTTCAGAATTAAATCATAAAAACATTATTTCTTCTTAGAGATTAATTAGTATCTACTTATAGTGAACAACAGATCACTTTTAAAAATAATGAGGACGAAGAAAGCAGTCAAAGAATTCTTCTTATTTTTTTGTAATCAAATATGAATTCTAAACAAATTCTTATAATTAATTTAGAGTTCAAATTATTATATAATATTTTTTTGTTATTTATATTTAAATTAAATATTAATAATAAAAAATAAATATTTCTATAGTTAATACAGTAGTTAATCTCTCTTTCGTAGGAAAGAGAAAGTTAGAGGAGTTCAAGTCCCAGTTGAGAATTAGAGTCAGAGATTCGGCCTGCAGATGGAAAAGGTGGGGTATCTTTATTTTTGCGTAAAAGAATCTCAAACCTTTTTTTTTTCCGTCAAAACCTGAAAATTGGAAATATAACAAGAATAACGCCAAAAACCATTATGTTTTTTTTTTTTTGAAAAAAAGAAGAGGAAATGAAACCGTTTTTTACTAAATTTATAAATAAACTTGATTGAATTTGCATGGCATTAAATGGATTAACATATTTTGGGGAAAAGTAGGACAGGGATGACATTAAAGAAGAGATGAGGCATACGTTTTTTCTCTTTTGGAGATAGCAAAATTAACTTGTTTGATTGTTCACATGATTATTCAATTCAAACCATTTTTTTTTTTGGTCATATAAAAATTATTTCTAAAAATAAATTGTTTGTGTGATTATGAAACATTTTATTAAAAATAAAATAATTATTATTAAATATAAAAATATATTATTTTAAAAAATATTAACTTTGAAACAGAGAGCTAGAATACTATTACTAAAGCTAATAATGATGTAGCCAGTGGCAAAGTTAGAAATTTTGTTAAGGATATGCAAGATTAATGTATATATATGTAAAATTATTTTTGTCTGGTATATTTTGTACAATTTTCTATATACATAATATAATTTTTTTGATAATTGATATTCGATTAAAATCCCGAGTCATATGTGGCTACGTCAAAAAGTACTACCCGTTGTCTTTCTGGTAATATGAGAAGACCGATTTCCATTTGAAGGATAAATCAATTTGTTGCAAGAAAAAGAATTTGCGGACGTATCTACCCTAACCAGTAGGTTTCCCCTTTTTGTATATTTTGGATAAAAATACAATTTTTTTTGATTTGTATATCTTGTGACATTTCATCTAACTAACTAATTCAATTCTTACTTGAATAATTTATTTTTTGAGAGATAGGAACTTTATACTAATTACTAATACTAATAGTCTTAATAATGAGATAAAAGCCAAAAGGTGTAGAAGAGATGGTTGTGTAAGTGAATAAACTAGAGATTAATTAGTTGGTAATTGGTATGTTGTTCACATGGAATCTTTCTCTTTGTCTGCTTCCATTTTATTGCGGCACGAGCTGCAGCCCAAGTCGGACTTGCCACATGTCTTTTCACAACTAAAACAAGATATTTCTTTACTAGGTGTTCGACGTTTATATTGAAGCATTGATAAAATTGGAATCATGCATTGCAACGCTTATTTAAAGGTGACGCTTTTAACATGATTTTCTCCTTATTAAGTACTCGAATTAGAGATCTCTGATTAAGAATAAAACAATTTCACCACTACACCACAACTCTTGTTGATACAACTAAAACATATTAGTATAATAAATGCACTTGAGTTTTTTTTATTGTTGATTTATACTTCCACGATCCCCCCACGTAGTCCATCTCACTCAGGATAATTAAACTTTCATGATTGATACAATAATTTTTTTTTGGTCACAACTCACTATAAGCAAGATTGTTTAAATCATATAAAAAGATATACCTATCTCCTTTTCATTTATTTGATGTGTGACTCTTGAACACTAATACGATATCTTAGACAACAATAAGAGAACAAGAGTTAATGGCGAACAACTACGTTTGCCCGCTATCTTAGTTCAAACACAACTAATTATTGTATTGCCAACTAATTATATACTAACATCTTGGTGTGTTTTGAATAATAGGATTAATTGGTTGTTACTAATTTCACACATGTGAATCTTTAAAGTTCCATTGATTTGTGAGCATTAACTATATACAATTAATGAAGCAAGTCAAACAAAACAGGCATATATAGCTAATACATTTTGCAAAAAAGCAGGCTGACTTTTTGGTTCTAAATTAGTAGCTCAGTTGGCAAATTAACAACTTCACTGTAGTTGTACAATGTTCTTGACTGCCTTGCCATTTTTCCACACGTTTAAATAATATATTATGTGCTAATTTTTCTTTCACACGAGGAGATGACCACAATGAAGTAATATTTACGATTACTTTCAATTTAATCAATAGGATATATATATATTCTAGTCAAACGAAAAGGGTGGCTGATCAACCTTTGACAATTGTGATACCATATTTTCCACATTTGATGGTTTTTTAATATATGCTGTAAAGTTTAAGGCAAAATATAATATTGAAAAACAATATAATAATGGAAATAGTAATTTCCCTTTTTAATTGAAAAAAAACTTATTCTTTTAAAAAAATGCTACCGCGAGTATTAAGTCAGCTTTGTTCATAATCTGAAGTTGACTAACGACTATTAAACTTTTACGATATAGGTATACAGAGTTTAGTATTATATTTCATATTGGCTGAACAAACAATTGAATATTTTAACTTTAATAACTTCCTATTTAGCTGGCTCAGAATAATATATGATCCTGCAGTCCAGCCATTCAGGTCTATTAATTATTTAATAATTATCCATCGATGAGAATTGTTTATAGTATTGTTTATAGGAAACTTACATAAATCTCATTAGTTTATAAACTAATTATTTAGATATACTCTACTTTGCAATATTACGAATCTTATCAGATTTTGGTGTGTCCAGATATGTTCAGATATATACATGTATCTCGGGATACACGAGTCAAAATTATGTGTAATTTATTTTAAATGCATTATATCCAAGTGGGTTCGCATGTATCTGGATACATAACAAATCTACTCACCACCCTCACCTCTCTCCCATCTCACTCGATCTACTCTCCTATGTATATGGTGTCCCAGATACACGTGAATCACACCAGACAGATACAAATACATGTATGTAGTGTGATTCACATGCATCTGGAATACATAACAAAACCTGCTCGCTTCTATCCCTATTTTAGTGTATCTGGTAGTAAACATACATGTAACTAAGTGTATCTTCTTCAATATATGATAGGAAACTCTTAATTAGTGATAAGATACGTAGTATTTTTAAAAATATAATAATAATAATAATAGTATATATAATAGTAAAGTATATCTAATTATATAGTTTCTCTTTGTGTATATACTATGGAATAGGTAACAAAATGCACTATAATAGCACCATTGTTTAATCATTTATAAGTTGTACTTATGATACATAATTACAATTTATTACTATATTATTATTCGTAGTAGATTCCAAGAAAATCCTTAACACATGTAGAAGTGGATTCAAAATTTGAAGTTTATGAGTTTCAATTGGATACACAATCAAATAATTATAATTTTTTTTATTACATACACATGTTACAAGCAAAATCTATTAGGTTCACGAATATATGTACCTAAAAAGCTGAATCCACCCCTGAATTTACACCTGATCATTTTGTTTGTTCTTTTGAAGGCGTATAATCAATTAGGCGGCACAAAACAATTCAAAGCACTTCCTTAATGTTAATGATAAGGTCGGCTTTTTAAGATAGAAAATAATTAAAGGAGAAACACTAATAGAGTTCTAATGATGGCAGAATTTTAGTTAATGTCCCTACGATATGACACTTAATTTTATGATTATATATATATATATATATAGTTTGTGGGGACGTACTATGAATGGTCCTCAGGTTGTGACGGGGTCTTTTTTGTTACTCTTATATATTGAGTTAGAAAGTAAAGGTGCCCAAGTCTTGTATTTCTATATTTGTTTAGTGACACATGACGTGAGATCACTTTTGAGTACAACTTGCCACAATTATAATTCAATTTTCAACAATATACTATACGCATAAAAAATAGATACATTATTAAGATACCAATTATGGCGAATACATTACTAAAAACCAAAAGAGAGAAAACGCATAATACCTCTTTGAGAGCTTGTCACATATTATCAATAACACACTAAAACTTTGGGAGTGAAAAGTGAACAAAGGAGAAAAAGATAGTTTATTGGTAAGTGAGTTGGTGACTAGTTTTTCTGAGTACTTTTATTATGATACCACTCGACTTGACATAAGGTTAAAGAAAAAAAGGATTTTTTTAAATAAAAAAAAATTGGGTCTAAACATGACTCTTTAACCATTTATGAGACGATATATCATTTCTTAAGGATAAAGATGAATTTTGAAGTTAAATTCTTTTTAATTGCAAAAATATATCATTCTTTATGGAACAGACTAAAATGATAAGTGTGTTAGATAAATTGGAGAAGTTGGTTTTTTCGACTAAGAGATATATAGGTCTATAAAATAAAGTGATTTTAGGTAT